ATCCAGTGCATACATATGTGAAAACGGCTCATGTGCATTTGTTGGGGGTGTTCCTCAGGAGGAGGGGCTTGACATAAAAAGACTCTGCAGAAATACAAGATGGCAGACTAAGTGTCAGAATCCAACAAAATTAGAGTTCCTGCCTCTTTATCAAAGCTTTATGTGATTGGAGGTAGGCTGTACGCATCTCTGCCACGTTAGACGGCGAGATTAAAGACGTACACTTATTAGAGTAAATTTGAGAATGCTATCAATGGGACTCCAGCGCTCCCTGCAGGAACAGACGGGTGACGTCATCAGGCTTCATACAGTAATATTTATAGTCTGTGATAAATCACGTACGAGGTGAAGACTTAAACTCTGGACAGAGTCCTGAATGAAATCCAAACTGACTGAGACGCTCTTCCTCTCCTGTCATTCATTCTACGACCTCTAGAGGTCTCCACCTGATAAAGACAGAGTGGGTCTTCATTGGCTGTTTGACAGACGACCTACTGTTGTGTTTTTAGTCTTCAGTTATTTTATTTCAATATTTCATCACTTTTTATCTGGATTGATTTCTGCTGAAGAAACTGAAAAACTGACTTTTTTTTTTTTTTTTTAATGGAGCTTCTCGTCTCAAACTTTCTTCCTTTTGATTTGTTTTTTCATAAAGCTTCCAGAGAGCTGAAGCTAAAACTCTACGTTGATTTAAATTCTCAAATTCATCAATAAGCATGCAGTCTCATTAATATTCAGACTTTTTTTTTATTATTATATGAAAGTTCTGTAGTTTGCAGAGTCAAAGAAACTGATTTGTTTTACACTCTAAATCTTCAAATTTGGCTTTAGAGGATTTGATTTCAGCTCATCAACACGAGACGATTCTATTTTTAATTTCAGCCTTCAGGTCACGAGAGGAACGTTTGGACGTTTCAGAGCCTGTGTGGCGTTTGGCATCAATCTATTAAAATGTTTCACGTTGGAAGAGTTTCAAACGTTCCTCCAGTTCAAGATTCTGAAACTGAAGTCGTCTTTTTCATGGCAGGTCCAGAAGCATACCGAACCTTCAAGAGCTTCAGATTGACAAATAAATCAAACTTTGAGTCCACCAGTGGGGTTAGGGTCAGTCCACCAGGGGGGTTAGGGTTAGTCCACCAGGGGGGTTAGGGTTAGTCCATGAGGAGCCAGAGGGACAGGATTCAGAGCGATGTTGAACCCTGCAGAGACTCTGTCAGGTTTTTAAGAAAAGTTTCAGAGCAGAATGAAGAAGAAAAATGTATGTAAATATTTAAACTTTGTCACTAAATAAAATAAATATCATGTGAGACAGAATTCAGATTATTTTGGGAGGAAAAAGATTTGGACTTTTACATCACCAACAACATCGATCTGCTTTTAATTTCCTTCTCGACTGTCTGGTTTAGATTTTACACATCGGTCTTTGAACAGCCTGACCTGGAACCTGGAAACCTGGAGAGGAGGTTTGTCTGAAATCCTCTAACATGACTCCACAACTGATTCAGCATTTTCTCCTCATAAACAACAATCAGAGCATCAGAGGTCCCTGAACGCCTCATGAAGAGTCTTCAGAGACTAAACCTGCAGCCGCAAACACTGAGGGGTTTGCGGCTGCCCCCTGAACAGATCAACTCCTCCTGAACCTGCAACAGCTTCCTCCAGGAGCAGAGCCCAGGAGCATGATGGGAAACTGAGCCTCACACACACACACACACACACACACACACACACACCGCTCTGCAGCTCGGATTCAGCTGCAGAGACACAAACATCGATCAGATCCCTGCAGACGATCAGAAAACGACATAGCCAGTCAAACATTTTCTACAGCGACAGAATGAGCTAATTGTTTTTTCAGCTTCAGAATCAGAACCAGAACCAGAACCCGGCAAGACCTTATGCTCCGACATGCACAGACAAATCAAACCACAAATATCATCATCACTCTAATATTATTATTATCAGCTGATGATTCGTTCACTGTCAGCACAGTCAACACAAACGTTCAACAAATGATGCAGAATAAGTATTTTGTCCTGCAGAGAATGCAGACAGTGAACGCAGCAGGCTGAGCTCCAACAGAATCAAACATGATTTAATGATTCATTACTTTTATATTTAAAATGTACATATAAATACATTTATTTGATTGGTTTAATAAAAGCGAGAAGATTTTCTTTCTCAGTTAAAATTAAAAAACAGACTTGAGACCTTCGTGCATCAGGGAGTGTAAAACAGAAACATGATGTTAAATATCCGGGACAAGATGCTTTGAGTTTAAACATGTAGAAGCCCTTATTTTGAAGTTTTAGATTTGTTTTTCTTTACCGGAAAATAAAAAAAAACTACCCAATGAGAGGATCATGCAGGGGACCGTGAACGCATCACAGCAGGTAAAAGGAGCAGGATGCAGGTTTGACCTTTGACCTACAGACACACACACACACACACACACACACACACACACACACACACACACACTCTCTCTCTCTCACACACACTAAGAGCGGAATTGTCTGATTTTCGTGGAATCATAATTTGAAATGTAAACTCGGTGAAATGACCGGAAGTCTGTTTCTGTCATTTCTACACCGGCGCGCGGACACCAAACGAGCGCATGCCGTGCTCACATCATCAATTATAGATTCTTAGTTTCCACATCAAACATCCGGGTGAGACTGAGGAGAGACAAAAACACGGAAATCAGAAAATCTAGATTTAAAATGAGACACAAAAATCTGCCGGAACAAAAAACAACAAATTGCAGCTTCAGAAACGCACGAGACGTTTCAGAATTTAAAGATTAGCTTTTTGATAAAACATGCACAAGGACATGTGCAGCTTCATTGTGATGACAAATAACAACAACATCGTGTCTTTAAAATAAACAAATCGACAAACAAACAAACATGTTGTGATTCTGCAGCAGAGCAGAAAATTCAGCTTCAGGTTTCTGCAGAAAGAAAAAAAACTGAATCTTCGTTTAAAGACTCAAAAATATTCTGGATAATTATTTTTAAATGTGATAATGTAATATTAAATATTCCTGCACACACTGAGGGTTCAGATTGATGCGCAGCCGCAGAGAACAGCAGAGGCACATCTGCAGCTTGAAAACAACACAAACAACAACACAAACAACAACCTGCAGAAACACGCAAACACACAAAGATCTCAGGGATGAGCTGCAGGTGAATCTCCTGCTCACACCTGAAACACCGAAATGACACTACAACATGAGGAGGAGGAGGAGGCCGCGCAGATTCATTTTTTCATGTCTATTTTTGTTTGTGATAAAATCGGATTTTCATTCGGTCTGTTTGTATTTTTTCTTTTTGTGAGTCAAACCCTCCAATCAGGAGCCGAGCAGCCTCTAAACAAGCACGTGACGTCTTATTGATTCACTTTGAAAATTAAATAATGTAAAAATAAAAAAGAAGAAATAAATCCTTCAATTGAGTTTGAATGTGATGAACATGATGACAGATCTCTGAGTGTGAGGGAGATATTTTAGATTATTATCACACTTTGTTTGAGTCAAATCATTAAAGTGAGGAAACAAATAAATAAAAACTGCCAAAGAACAATAAATAAAAAAAACTACAGAAGAAGAAATGGAGGAAGTGGAGGACATAAATATTTCTCAGACTGTCTGCAGGTTCGGGACAATTTCGGGTTTTTTTTTTTTTTCATTGTTTCAATTTGACAAAAAAAAATCAGATAAAAATGAGAAAGAAAGAAAAACAACGAGCTGAAATGTTCAGATGTTTGTGATTCAGAGCAAAAGACAAGACAAGCCTCAGGTGTGACTTGATGCAGAAATGATATATCATAAATAATAAGGTTTGAGTTCTAAGGTGTTGATGTCACATCGAGCATCGGTAACACAAAGACACGAAGTCTGAATCCAAACCAGAAGAAAAAGGAGCAACATTTCAAACACTCTCAGGTTCTTCACTTCAAACTAAACAAACTGAAACCAGCTCCATCCAAAAGGCCCCTACTCTCTGAGACTATGTTTTCAATCTGCACATTTAAGAAGATCAAAAAATGAAACTATTCTGACACAACTTGAGCTGCAGACTCAACCCAGAAGAAGAAACCTGCAGCAGCTCCTGCAGAGACCAGAAACCAGAGAGGATCCAAAACACAACTCAAACTTTGACTTCTGTTTGAGGGAAAGCGTCGAGAACTATTTAATAAATTCACAGCTTCCTGTTAGATGTGTAGAATAAATAACGAGTGAGACAAACACACGCACTGCAAACATTAAGCAGACACTCAGCAGTCAGAAACAGGATGAAATAAAATCAATGTGCAGCTGCACGGGGAACTTTTACTGATGTTGTTGCAGTTTGAGGCAGAGAGAAGCAACTGCAGCACAAACATGGAGCCCCTCAGTGAAGCAGATTAGACTGATTCCGGATCTGCTGCGTGATTTCTGCACACGAAAACACAAAACCACGCAGTGATCCCACAGAGAGAGCCGGAGGCCGCAGCCCGCAGCTCCTCACGTTTCACTGTTTCAAAAAATAAGAGCACCCAGAGTCCGTCAGGCTTCAGCAGCCTGAACGCGACCTTTGGTTGCATCATTTGACCCAGTTTTTACAGCCAGACGCGCATGAGTCTCGACGCGTAAAGCTTCACGCACAGGGGCGCGCGCGCGGCAGAGCTTTTTTTTTTTTTTTTTTTTACGATGTGCGTAAAAAACAAAACAAAACAGGAAACAGGAATATTGAAGAAAACATGTGAAAGCTTTGTAAATATTTGCCCCATTGAACCCGTGAACATGAACACATTTGATATGGAGGGCAAAACAGAATCACATTTACAAAACCTCACTTTTAAATTTAATCTAAAATAACGGATTTAAATCCTTAAAATTGGAACATTAAATTCAGTCAGATTATAGTTTGTTTGTCTGTTGCGTCCAGGTACCTGGTGATAAAAACAGACAACACGGTGTGCAGGCTGAAAGAAGACAAAGGGAGGAGCTCGGGTTATGAATGTAACCTATTCTTTTATTTGTACTTTTGATGATTCAAACATTTTTTTCTCTTTTTTAACTTCTGTAAGCGACAAACACGGGAATAAGAATAAGACCACAATAGTATCACAACCATGAAAAATTGTTTTGAGACGACAATTAAAGGACAATCATTCCAAGTAGTATTAGATAATGAGTCGGCTTTTTTTTTCTTCTTCTTCTTCTGTGAAAACAAACGGGGTTCTACATTTTTCTTCTTCCTTTCAAAAGAAGCAACCCCCCCAAAATATTCAGATTACAAATAGACATTTTTCTCTCTCTTTTACTAATTATACAAAAAAAATAAAAGCAGAAAGGCGTGAGCGTCCGTTTGGAGCGGTGGTCACGTTTACAGTCAGAGAAAAAAAAAGTACATGACAGGCTGCCACCGCGGAAAACATCCATCACAAAAACGAGACATTTACGCACAAAACTCAGCCTGAAATCTGAAGCTTCCGGTTTCTGTGAGGAGTTTAATTCATGAGGTTTTAACATTTGATGTCAAACCGAGGCGGGTTAAGGCACAACGCCTCCAGCTGCACCGACAAACATTCACTGGGAACTCTAAATTAAAAACTCGGCGCCACCAAACTCCAGACAAATTTCAGCCGATTTAAGAGGGGAAAAAAAAGTGCCATAAAAATCTCGTTGAATGGACATTTTCAGCAGCGAAGGAGGCAGAATTCATCCGTTCATTCACTCATTCACTCATCACTAGGACTACAGCAGGCCTCTGTCAGATCCACACTGACCCTCTACTCTCCTACAAACCGAGTCTTTGGTCTATGAAGGAACAGGAACTGTTTCAAACGGAGAAATGAATGAACGTAAATTTAGGACTGTGCCGGCGGGAGCCAGAGTCGTTTAAAAAATAAAAAAACAAAAACAAAAACACACATTTCACTTTGTAGAAAATAAAAAAGAAGAAATATAAAATTAGTGATTCGTCAAATACAATCGGCCGCTTCTTTTCTGCGCCGCACGAGACCGAATAATACTGCAAACATGCGGCCAACACCGGCTACTAGACTTTGTCTTTATTATTATTATTATTATTATTATTATCAGCTTTTTTTAATCTTAAAATTAGACAAAAACTATTTTAAATACACATTCTATCAAAGTAATGCCTCCAACATCACACACACACACACACACACACACACACTGATCTCAGCTCTCTCGCGGCTCACATTGCACGTCGCTGACTGACAGAACTACAGAGACAAACCGGGACAACAACAGGAACAGACAGTATGTACACACAGAGAGTCAAACTGCAGGAGAAAGAGGAGAAGAAGAAAGAGGAGGAGGAGAAGCGATAATAATAATAATTTTAAAAAATACCTGCAAACTTCAGGGCTGCTTTCTGTCAGAGTTTCTCTGCTGCTCTTTTAGTCTCTCCTCTTTTTCTAGAGTTTAGAATAATTCTGTTTGTTTTTACAGTGTGAATGTTCAGTGTAAAATGTTCAACTTACAGTTCCAGTCTTTTTTAGATTTTCACTCCTTCATGGGGGAGGGGGGGGGGGTGGATGGGTGGATGAGGGTTGAGGTAAATGGAGGGGTTTGGGGTGTTAGTGTATAAGCGGGTTGGAGGTCGAGCCCTGGTTCTGATGCGTAAAATAGTCAGACAATCCCCCAGACAATCCCCCAGACAATCCCCCGGACAGTCCCGAGGAGAAGGCCGGCAGAGAGGCGGACAGGGCCGGCCGCAGAGAGTCACAGGGCAGCGAGGAGGAGGACGGAGCCTGCGGGGAGTTGGAGGCCGAAGCCCGGGCGGCCTGCAACGAACCCCCGCCGCCGCCCTGCGCGCTCATGGAGGGGTGAGGGACGTGGGGGAAAAAGTAACTGGTCTGCCCGGCCAGCAGGTTGACCGAGCATGGGTTCAGGGAATACGTGGCACCGGAACAAGGCACGGAAAGGCCGCAGGGCACCGCCGAGGCCGCCAGGGCCGCCGCCGTCAGGTGGTGCGTGGCATACGGGAGGTCCCCGCCGACCAGCCGGTCCATGCTGAGCCCGTTAGAGGACGGGAACGACGAGTGGTTGCTGCCCATGTTCTGGGTGAGCATGGTGCTGTAGGACATGGGGTGACCCGGGTAGCCCGATGAGGTCCCGTTGTAGCCCAGAGCGCTGCTGGCCCTCGGGTGGTGCAGGGACAGGAACGGGGACATGGGCCAGTACAGAGACCCAGCCCGGTCCATGAAGGTCAGCCCGGAGGTCAGCCGCGCGCCCCGCTTGAAAGCCAGCTTGGCCCGGGAGGTGGTGGACCTCCGCCGAAGCTTCCCGGTGGTCCCGCCGATGAAGACGTCGTCGCTGCTCGGGTCCAACATCCAGTAGTTGCCCTTTCCCGGGTCGTCGTAGTGCCGCGGCACCTTGACGAAGCACTTATTGAGGCTGAGGTTGTGCCGGATGGAGTTCTGCCAGCCCTGCTTGTTTTCCCGGTAGTACGGAAAGTTCTTCATGATGAACTCGTAGATGCCGTTCAGGGTGAGCCGCTTCTCCGGGCTCTGCCGGATCGCCATCATGATCAGCGCGTTGTAACTAAAAGGAGGTTTTTCGTACTTGCCGCTCTTCTTCTCTCCGTCCTTCCCTCCGCTGTCTCCGTCTTTCCCGTCCTTCTTCTCCTCCTGCTTCTCCTTCTCCTCCGGGGAGCTCTCCTGGCCCGAACACTCACTCTTAGGCTCCGGTTTCCCTTCCTGCTGCGCAACCGGGAGAGGAGCTTTCTGCTCGGCTTCGTCGGCTCCGACGGCCCGGTGGAGGTGGTTTTGGTGGATGTTCTGGTGGTGCTGCTGGGTCTGGTGGTTGTTGTTGTCGTTTTTCACGGCCTCCGGCACCAAACTGTTTATACTGAACGACGATTTGGGAATCATTTTCACCTCTTTGCGCTCTCCCATATCCAACATCACCGGCTCTGAGGGGGGAAAACGGCAACGAGCAGAAGCGACGCACACAGCTGGGTCTCAGTGTGTCCGGACTGCGAACCAGGACGGGAAGGAAGGAAGGGGGGACGAGAGGAAGAAAGAAAGTATAGCCCAACAAACTATTTCATGTTCGCTTTGGGGAGAAAAAAGGAAACACACACACACAACACACATGTACACACACATCGATAGGAGACAGATAGCTGCAATTAATTAGGGAGCCGCAGCCACTAAAGCAAGTAAAAAACATTGGTTGGACCTTTCCAGTCCTCAGCCAACCAGGGGAACATTAGTATTAAATATTAAGGCGTCCTCTGCGCTCTCAGCCAATCATGACGCACAGGGAAACACACACATCCACCAATGCCGTGCACGCTGCAAAAAGTACCAACAAGCACGAGGCTTTCAGGTCTGACTCAGGCTTTAAAAAATATTCATTCGATCTGAAGAAACCGGAAATTTGACAGTTTTGATTTTATTTTTTTAATCCTTTTTTAAAAGAAGTTTTTCTGTCAAGAGTTTTGTTGCGTTTTTGTATTTTTAAGATGCAGCTTCAGCTTTTTTAAAGCTCATTTTACTGAGAAAAAAATACCACATTAGTTACATAAAGGTCGATAAATTTAAAATGATTTGTTTTCATGAATTAAATATTTAAATTTGTGATTTTTTTCTGAACAAGAATCAGACTTGTACATCCTCTAACACGCCCAAAAAGAGCCGCCGCTATGGACACTTTTTGCAGCGTAGGAAAACACACTCACCCCTATCAACACTCGCCCGCCCTCCCCTCCTCACCCCTCCCCTCTCTCATTCTCTCCCCCCTCCACCTAAACTAAACCCGTCGCTGGAAAACACACACCGTGCATGCGTACAACCAAATCCCCGCCGCTCCTCATATTTACACTCAAATATTTTCCCCTTCGGCTTCTTCCAAACTGTTTACATCCAGACTCAGAGGGAAAATAAACAGGGGAGAGGGGATCCGGAGGGCACGCGGACACGGTCAGGACACGCGGAGGTGATTTGTGTGTCAGCCTGATCGCGCGCAGAGACGCTACGGGCTGTTTCTCCACAGCAGAGAGAGAGAGAGACTCCGTGCGTAAAATGTGCGTAAACACGGTGCCATGTCAGCCCGCGGCTCCTGGGAAATGTTTGTAGTTTAAGATTTCTCCCGTCAGGAGGAAAATGTGACAACAAAACAGAGTGAAGTGAGGGAGAAACACACTCAGAGGATGAATGAAGAGGAGCACGAGGCCGCCGCGGAGGAGGAGGCGCGCGGACAGATTTATAAACGTTTTTATCTGAAGGCTGATTTTTAGAGAAATATTAGATTCTATTTCAAACCTTGAAATAAGAATATTTAATCTGACAGAAACAGGATTTATGTGACATTGATCTCCTTAAAGAAACATTTAGATCTGATGTTCAGAGTTCAGTGAAAAGACTGACTGTTACTGAGACTGCGGGTAGAACTGCTCCAGAACATACACGGCTCCTCTGCATGTAAGACCAGGACTGCCTAGTACAGTGTCGCTATAATCCTGAGGGTGTTGACAGAATATCTGTGGTATTTGTTTTTAGAGAGTTTTAATTCAGTCTTAAATTTATAAAATCCTAAAATAATATTTCTTTTTTTTTATTTCTCGTCTGATTTCAGTGAATTCTCAACACAAATGAGAATCACTCAAACCTCCCTCTGAAGACCTGAACCAGCTTCCTCCTGTTCTTAACAAATAAAGAATCTCTGAAGGTTCATGTACAGAAACATCTGAAAAATGTGAGTTTCATTAAAATCATTATTATTGTTGTTAGCTGCTACATCATGTCCTTACAACAATAAAACATCTCTTTAATGTGACACTGTAAAAATCTATTGTTAGCTTTAACAGCTAAATGAGCTCAATGTAGCGATATGAAGCACCACGTGACCTCTCGTGCTGTAAACATGTGAGCACAAATAATAAACATAGATAATGAGCACGCGAGACTCTGCAGAGCGAGAGAGTTTGTTGTTAACGTGCACGAGGGAAACTAAAGATTTATTTGAAGAAGAGGGATGACTCTGCACTTTAATCCTCTTTTTCACTTCAGGTACTCAGTCTCCACCTGCTGCTCTCCTCTCTCAGTTAAATACGACCATCAGTCAATTGTTTCATTTAAATATTACTGCGGACTGACCTTTAAACTGTGATCAGGACATGTGGACGTTTAGTCTGCAGCAGAAATCTGTCAGCTCTGGATTTGAGAAAGTTCCATGTGAGGCATGAGGAGCCTGAAACATCCCCAACAGAGGAAACATTTAGAGAGACGGCCTGAGAGGCTCCGAGAGAAACTTCAACTTTTCATATTTAAAGTTCGAGGTTAAATTCAAACTCAGCCTCACGCCGGGATGTAGACTGTAAAACTTTAGAAATAGAATTTAAACTCTTTGATAGTTTATGAAAAACTTCTGAGATTATTCTGTGGCTTCAGTTTATTTATAATGTTCTGGAAATCTTCAGACTGAGTGTCGTTCATCCGGTTTAAGCAGAAATTGAAGATTATCTGCAGCCAAATGAAATAAAAACAACATGACAGATGATGTTTTCTGCACATTCTGTGATTTTTCTTGTTGCTGTTGTTGTGGAGAACTTTCTCACGGAGTTGCAGCTGAAGCTCGGACTCACGGAGCTCTGAGAGCCGTTTGGTTCTGTCTGAGCTGCTCATAGTCTCAGAGTCAGACTCAGTCTGATAAAATAATAAAAGTATAGTGAGGATAGATAAATTAAAGACAGGCGGAGACAGCAGCTACAGCCGAGAATTTACACAAAACAAGAGATGTCATTTCTTTGGAGTCTCAGGGACCAAACGACGGAGCGGCTGCTGCATTCACTGCAGAAAACTTCACGAGGACCGGAAATAAAATATTTTAATTAATTGAATTTCATGTCTCCTCCATGTTTGTGTTTGTTTGAGTTTCTAAGAGAGGTGTGTGTATGTGTGTGTATTTCATAAACATGATTCAAATATTATTTATCAGCATGAGCTGTGGAAAAATGAGTATAACACTGAGTATTCTTTATAATTATAATTATTATTATTATTATTATTATATTAATAATATAATATTATTATTATTTTGGAGGGAAACTGTCAAAATAAAAGATCTATGAGCTGAAGTCCTGACTGCAGACTCCTTATTGAATCATTAATTGTATTATATTTTATTTATCTGATACTTTAAACAACAATAATTTAAATCATTTAAATAAAAGTGTTCATTAAAAATAATGAATCAGGCTTTCTGTTGGAGCTTCCGGTCACAGCTCGCGGCCTTCAGCCGGTTCAACGTGAGCGACGATCAGATTTTTATTTTCTCCTTAATTAATTACAATATTTAATAAAATTAATAATAAGTCGCTTTGAACAATAAAACGTAATTGTGCCGCAGTTACTTTGCGTAAAGCGCGGTCTGGATGCGTGAATCAATTTTTATGTGGCTTCTCTTCGTCGTGCTTTTATTTTGATGGAAAGTAAAAGTTGATGTTTGATTGTCGGATTATTTGTGACACTCCGTGAACCAACCAGTTTGTTGCCTGTTTGTTGTTGTTGTTGTTGTTTTGCTTACAGAAAACTGAAGATGAGAGTTTGGGGTTTTTTTTCTTCTGCGTGTGTGTGCGTGTCACTGCTGCGCGTGCGTGTGTTTGTGTGTGTGTTGGTGATGGAGGAGGAGGAGGAGGAGGAGGAGGAAGAAACATCCACCCAGCCTGAGAAAGAGAAAACCCGTAACAAGCGTCTGTTTCTGGTTTTGACGGTTTTGGAGAAACATTTATCCGGATTCAACTTTTAAAAACTCAAACAGCAGGTGACGTCATAAAACAAAAGAACGTAGAAGAAGAATAAATGTGGACATGGAGATATGAGAGTTAAAAAAGTGGCCTTTTTTTGGGGGGGAAGAAGTCTTTGTGACTTTAAATCCAACCAGACTTCGTTCATGTTCCGTTAACTCGAGCTCAGGCTGGCGGTGCACGTGGGCCCATCAGGTCAGAGGTCAGAGGTCGACCTGAGCCAGACAAACCAAACCCCATTCAGATTATCACCGATTTTAAAATCCAACCAAACAAAGACTTTAAAACCAAACACAGCTCATCAGACTTCCTCAATTTGACCTTCTTGTCTCTTTCATCGGTGTGTGAGTCGAAGTAGAACCAAACCAGACCTCCTGTTTGCATTGAGACCTACAGAAGATGTTCTGACTGAACTTCTTGAATACTGCTCTTCAGGTCACACTAAACCAGACCAGTTCATCTTTCTCTAATTTATATTTAGACGGGCGAGGAGGAGGTGAGGAGGAGGAGGCGAGGAGGAGGAGGAGGTGAGGAGGAGTGGAGGAGGACTAGGGAAAGCTCAACACGCCTTCTTTGTTTGTGAACTTAACGATTGTGAGTTCAAACCAGCACAAACCTCATTGCCTTTGTCATGATGATTTAATAATCATAAAATCAGTGAGACAAGAAAGGAGGTCAGAGGTCAACCTCAGCATCTTTAGTCGATAAACAACGGTGGCTGAGAAGTGCAAACCAAACTTACAAAAGCAAAAACATTTTTACATCAATTTATGAAACACATTTACAAGATGAGAAACTCTTTAGCAAGCTCTGAGTCAAATTTAAAAAAACAAATCTTAGCAGAAAAGGAAAATGTACCAAACGCAGGAAATGACCCGGAAGTCATCAAGTGAGCGGTCAATTTGTTTATTGTGACGTAAAGAATGCACGCCATTTAAACGTCTCAGGTAGGTTCCACAAAACATCAGGGTCAACATAAACTCTGTATAACACGTTTTGCAGTCTTTACACCAGAACAAACTAATTGACAGACACGCCATGTTTATTGTTGCCTTGGAAACACCAGATGTTATGTCATAGACCGCTGCATAATGAAGCGTGAGCTGCTACTGAAAGCTGCCGTCCTGTTGCTGTATGTGCTGCTGTGATAAAAACGTCAGGTCGATTATACTCGGATACATTAACTTGTCTGTAAACATATTCTCTTCCTCAAAGGTCAAAGTTCGGTTTCACCCAGTCGTCATGGCTACGGTCAACACAGGTCATTGTTATCAAGGTGGGGTGGTCAGGGAGTAGCAGAGAGAATCACTCCCATGATTCCTAGCCTGGAAGTTTTTCTTTTTGTTATTGTTTTGATTGAGCTCCCCCTTGTACGTTCCTGTTTTTGTTCAGCGTAAACCAAACCAGACTCCGTTTTTGTTTTCTG